TACCCCCCCCCCCCCCCCACCCCACCACACACACACAACAAACACACACATTCCTCTTCCCTTCTTTCTCTTTTTGTTAAATGTCGTGTTCGAGTTCGCTTGCGTGCATTTTAATTATTTCACCAATACTTACTATTTCCCGATTCCTATCAATAGAGGTATCGAGTATCTCTGTTTAGCAAAGCTTGGATAGATTAAAAAAAAAAAAGAATCACCTAATATTGTTTCGTCTCAGCTAAAATTTGAACACACTCTCTTTCTCTTGTACTGGTTCTTTTTCCTTGGATTTTCCTTTAAATTTTCCTACGACATGATTTCACATTTTATTCAATATATTTTGCAAAATCTTTACAATTGGATATTTATCAACTTTTTTGCCTAATACCACTATACGGATTTTATTTGAGAAAAAAAATATGCCCTCTAAAGTTGTTGAGTGTTTTTCAACACCTAATACAAAACTCTCTATTTCTAATAAATGATTCAAGATTTGTGAATCTTTAAATTGGATAAAAATATAAGAAGAAAGATCCCAATTTAAATTGAATCCTTTCTCTACAGATCTTGTATTTCACGTGGAGACAATTTTTTTAATGTGCAAGAATTTCAAAACTAAAGATTAATTTCAAAGGCCATTAATTGCATGGTGCAGATACATAAAATAGGGAGACCAAAGGTAACCTTCAATCAAGTGGCAAAAATAAAAATAAAAAAGTAGAAGGAAGAATATGATAAAATTAAAGCCAAGGTCAAGTTTGAAGGCCATATTTATAGACTGTTAGTTATAACTTATTAAGTTTACTGAATTTTCAACTTGACTTATATTTTGGTATAATTGACTATGCTCTACCTTCTCCGCATGAATAATGGTGCCTAATCATTCATCATTTCACTACTCCAATTAAAGTGATGTTTGGACTTGTAATAGGAAGAAATTTTGTGAACATGTCAATATGGTTAGAGGCGGATCAGGATTTAAAGTTTCTGATTTCAGAATTCTAGTCATTTTAAGTTATTAAGTTCTAAATTAATAATTTATGTATATTAAATAAACTTTTTAAGATAAAAATAAAGTTCAGATCAAAATTATTGAATTCGACAGAACCTCTACTTTGTATCTTTGGGTTCGCCCGTGAATATGACTCTTTATTATTAATCTTCATAAAAGAAACCTTTCTCACAAGTCACAACTATAATTTTTTCAATATTTGACATCATTATCGTTTGTCCATTCATGATACTATTGATCTTAGTCAAGTATATGACACTTTTGATTATCACAAGTGTGTATATGTATTCTCAATGTTGTAAAAATAGCACGCGCTAGCCAGTTTCAGACCGATCATTAAAAAATAGCCAGCGTTTGCAAAGTCATTGAAAAATAGCCACTATTTTGCTACAACACGAAGAGTTCCAGCATAATATACTTGAGACTGGTGCACATGTGTATGAACTTCCAGCATAATATACTAGAGATTGGAGCACATGTGTATGAACTTCCAGCATATTATGTTGGACCAGTATATTATACTGGAACTTCAGTATATTATGCTGGAAGTCCAGTATATTATACCGGAACTCCAGTATATTATACTAGAAGTCCAGTATATTATACCGGAACTCCAATATATTATGCTGGAATATTTTTGGATTTTGAACAGTGTTTTTGTTTAGATTTATCTTTACATGAAAAGTGGCTAAATTTCGATTGCTTTGAAACTGTGGCTATTTTTCGATTACCACTTGTAAATCTTGGCTATTTTTGAATTTCACCCCTCAATGTTATTGAAGTTTGATGATAGTGGGTCAACCTTCTATACTTAAGATAGCCGTCAAAATGGGCTTGATCGATGAGGCTAGTCCAACCAAGTCCACTATTTCGGTAGGATGAGGCTAAGGATTTTGTAGTCAATTTAAACTTTGAAGTTTATAGGCTTGGCTGAAGTTAGTCCGAGGGCTCGATCGAAACTTGGCTGGGGCCAGCCTATAATATTGACATCTTATCTTATAAAGAAAGTATATTTTTATAATTTTCACTTACTCACACATCATCATATGTAGAAAATATCAACAAAACTTTTGTAGTTTAGGTTCGAATTCAGAATGATAAAAATTGTTACAATTTACAATTTTTTTTAAAAAAAGGATGAAGTAGTCCACGGCTCACTTAGGGCTAAGTTGGACTGGCAATTTTAAGACACTTTTCAAAGCAAGATCGAGTCCTAGCCCATCAAATTGCATGACTCGTTAAGTCTGAAATAGCTAGGCTAGCCCATTTTAACCGCTCTAAATATCTCTGTGTCCAAACATAAAAGTTAACCTTGGGGGTTAGGGAGGGGTGGTTTCAGTCAAGATGAGTGAGCTCAATCTTGCTAATCCAAAGAAGTAATAGTCAAAAAAGGTGTAAAATTCCCAATTAATAGGATTAGTGGAGTATTTTGTATTAGGTGGGTTGACCAAGCATGTGATAATAAGGACTGACAGACACATACAATTTACAGATACAAAGGCAATAGTAAAATCTACTTGTCTCCCTTGACTTCCCACGCGTCTATATAGGTAGGTCCCACCATCTCTTCACCTGCTATTCCTTCTTGCCCAATTCCTCCCCTACCCCCCCCCCCCCCAACCCCACCAATCCATTCTGATTCTCTCTCTACTATATATATGTGTGTTTTACGACCTCCTTTCTTAACTGATAATTGAATTCTTCACCTATTCTTCTTTTGAACCAGTAGAGAGAGAAAGTGATTTAGGGAGAGAGAGAGCTGTTTGGTGAAGTGTTGATTTTCATTTGTTGCAATACACACACACACTATGAAACAGAGTCCTATGTCTTCTAGCAATCACACCTCTAATGTAAGCTCTCTCTCTCTTTTTGTTTTTGTTGCTAATATCATAAGCTATTAATTCACTTCAATTTCGTTTCATTTTTGTTGAATTTAACTGAATTTCTAGTTCTATTGACTGGAAAATTGTTTCAGTTTAGCTCAATTGCTGATTAAATATAGAAAGTAGTTGATCATTTGTGGCCAATTAGTTCGTAATTGTGTCTAGTGTGGACTTGAAATTCTTTTTGGATCAGTTTTGCAGTTTAATTTCACTTGTGTAAATTTTTTTTATATATGTTTTTTAGGAAATAGGCTGTTTGATTATAATGCCTTTGAGTCGGCTAATGATCTGGTGAATTAGTAATCACACTTGAATATTTTGAAGTCAATGGCATATAAAACTGATTTCTAGTTGTCTCTTTTGAGTGAATTAGATTTTTTTTTATGACGGTGGCGTCTAGCAAGCTTGCGTGCCTCTCGACTATTTCACCACGTACCCTTACCTCACACCAGCACATGTACCGGGTGACTTTGCCTACCTAGGCTTAAGCAGATGCGAAGAAATGACCTGACACCTCATGGTTTTCCTCCTACTTCATTGACCACTACGCTGCATCGTTGAGTGCTTTTTTTTCCTTTCTTTTATTTGGTGGGAGGGGGATGATTGAATCTTTTTTTCCTTAAGTTTGAATGGCTTTTCTTAAATTTGAATGGGTAATTTAGGCATTTTCAAGCAATTTTAGTTGTTGCATCAAGCATTTGGATGATCAATTGAACTTTTGGCTTCTCCTAATTTTGGCTACTAAAGAATTGAGTACTGTTATTAAATGCATTCTAGAAAATTTCTGGTGAAAGTATTAGAGACCAAAATGCCTGCCTATGCCATTTTTTACTTCAAAAGAACCTAAATGTTTTTACTATCAACTTAGGGAAATACAATATCCACATTGATTGCATACGGATTTTCAAAGGGGTTTTTAGTAGTAATGGGAACCTATCCATCACTTTGGGTTGAATGCACTGGTATCAGAGGCAAACTATAGTAACCCTGTAGTTTCATCCGCCAGTCGTTTCTCATTGTCCCAATGGCATTTTTTCGCGCCTTGTGCTTACTTTTTAGTTTGTTGAACCACTTTAATCTCCTTAAAGATTTAGCTTGTTGAGCCCCAAAAGAAAAAACCTCTTTAGTATAGGTGTCGACCCTAAAACTTGGGGTACATGTGCAAAAGAGTGTTAGAGATGTATATTATTTTTTATTAGAGTTCTTAAATGGTTTGTGATGGTCGTGTGCAACTCCATTTACTACATATCCTTAATGTCTGTGGTTCTCTAAACATCCTGCAATACCTATGGCCACTTCTAAATAGGGAAATGCTAGCGTTTTACCACTGGAGAATGGCTTCAGTGATTCACTCTCTCTGTTGAATTCTGAGAAGGCTGTAGAAGAACTTAGACAACAGCCTCTTCTTCACGGGATTGATGATCATCTGATTGAGTTTGCCGAGGCTTTGAGAAGTATGATATGTTGTTACAATGATTAATTATTTGGCAATGTTTGGAAATTGCTACACTCTATGATACAGATACTTTACTCTTCAATTTATTAGCCGTTGCAAAAGCACTAAGACAAGCTGCCGAAGGAAAGGCTTCTGCACAAGCTGAAGCTGCTGAGTGGAAGCGTAAATATGAACTCGAGAGGTCACGTATTCTGCACTTGGAGAGAAAAGGTACTGTCCCAAAGAGGCTTTTATGTTTACTATTTAGTGACTGTTTGCAGCAGTTGCCTACAGCTGAAATATATTTATGATTTGTGCACTGGTTCCATGTCTACTTAGTTTCGGTCGTCTCAGGTGGCCATACCTATCCTTCTTGAGTTAAGATCCATTTGTAATTGTTACCACATTTTGATGCCATTTCTCCACTATCTGGTTTATTTTCTAACAAACTCTGTTCCTCTTGTCCCTCTAATTGAGGTATGGCCAGCAATGGTTATCTTTAATAGCAAACAAGCCATAGATTATATTCTATACTCCACTTTCAGAAATAAGATAAGCGGCATCATGAGGTATATAGCTTTTTTTTTTTTAGTAGCAAAAACATAAATGAGGTATATAGTATCACATGTTTCAATTTGTAGGAATAATGATTCCTCAATAGTTTGTTAAGGAGTTGTGTGTGCACTCCAACTTTTACAACCACAGTCTACTTTATTTATTTGATTAGTTTAACGTCAAAATTTGCCCCTATCCTCTCTGCCTCACGTTTTCTTGTTCTTGTACTTTTTGCCTCCTGATTTATCCAATCTCCTTTTTTTACTAGTCTATGTATTTTCATGACTTGTACGTTAAATTACATGAGTTGAGCAAATTTATGTATATCTTTTTCCAAAAACTTTTGAAGTATGTATATGTTCGTGTATGTATAACAGAGAGATAGAAAGCCCAAGCTAAAAGATAGACAAAATTGTCTTAGTTTGTACAAAATATCATGAATGCAATGAAGACAGACAAAATCTTCCTAGTTCTAGGATCACCGATTACTGAATGCTTGCTTAGACGTTCTAGCCGGATGGGTTGGGAGTGACACTCGGAGAGACATAGAGAATCAAAAGAGAGATGAGTTGGAGAATAGAAGGGTAATTAGGTCATGTAACTAGTCACAACATTGAAGCAAAGTGTGGTGGCAGATAGTTGGAGCACAACAATCAGTCCTGTCTATACGGTCAGAAAAAATGTGGAAAACTGTTCGGTTAAAGTACATTCCTCATTTTATCGTTCCTGAAGTACTAGACACTTGTTATCAAATCATAAAGTTTTTAACAAAAAGCTTTCTTTTTGGTAAAGTAACTTGGCTTACTCTGCAGTATCATCAGAGGAGTGTTTGATAAAGGAAGGACGAGTTGTACCCTTGACAAACCAAACTGTACTATCAGATGGTGCTCCAGAGCAATCTGAAAGGTGTTGTGGAGAGAACGGGATTTGCTCTCATGAGGTTCTTCGTGATGGAGAACGTGATCGTGATGCCAGTGCCTTTCCAAACAAGATGATCAGAAAGGTAGATGCCTGTAAACTTATGCTGTTTCCACTGCAACAGTCTTTGTTGATCACTTTTGTGTGCTGTGCATTAGAAAGCGTGAAATATAATGTGTTGGCTTGTTTTTACTGAGTTTCAGATGTATATTCATTTTGTAAATGATTTAGTTATTGGATTTTATATGTGCCATCCAGTTGTAACTGGATAGACTCATACTTTTTTGTTAATTATAGAACTTACCTTTACTTTATCCCAAAAAGAAAAAGAAAGTTACTGTACAATTTAGTTGTCCAAGCACTGTGAAAATGCCTGCTATATTCGTCAGCTTAGCTATATTGCTACTGTGAGGCTGTTATCATTGCAAGATATTTTAATGTCTTTAACCTGTTGTACTTTAATTAGTTATCCATCTCAATATTGAATGCGGAATGACCTTCAGCAAGTTATTAATATACTGGTACAAAGACAAGATCTTTCTTCCTGTATGCTATTTCTTATCTTGTAGTGCTTTTATGATTTGTTCTTAAAATAATGCCTATGAATAATTCGTGTAACGAAACAGGCGTCATTCAAGTTGTCATGGTGTTGCAAAGGTGAAAAAAGTGATCAGAAAAAACATGATGTTGTCTCTTTTGAAAAGGGAAACATAACAACCGCAGAGCGCAGCAGTAAACAGGTCTGCCCATTTTTTGGCCTTCAAGCTCCTCTCTTCTCAGTCTGACCTTTTCAGACACGTCTAACTTTACAGTTCTCTTGTGTTGTTTGCCCATGATAATAGAACTTCAAAAGAATACCACTTAGGCTTCTTTTCCTGTTGCTTTAAAATTTAATTTCCGCTAAACAGACTTATCAATATAGGGAAAAACTTCATCTGAACAGAGAATCATTTTTTCTGTCTTTTCCAGATTTCTTTGAAGTGGGAATCTCCCCCACAAACGGTGCTTATATTGACAAAGCCAAATTCAACTGCTGTTAGGATGCTTTGTTCAGAAATGGTCAGGTTGGATATAAGAGTATAGACATGCTTTTTTTTTCTGCTTCAGTTCTTTTTGAGAAAACTGTGCTAGAACTCAATGGTAATGCATGTCTTTTGCTTTACTTTGTAAGGTTCCTCCTTAGAGCTGGTCAAATGATTTCTTAATTGCTTCGATTTTAATTTTACAACGCAGATATGTTCAAATCATAATTAGATAAACTGATCTTTAACAGCTTAAGTTTTCAAATGAAGGTAGTTACATTAGTTAACATGATAACAGCTGCCGGGTTTGAGTTCCTTCAAAAATTCATCACCTGCCATCCCAATAGTTTACATGCTGTGTGCCACACAAAAAAACAAACAATAATTGCCGTCCTCTCTCGGGTAACTTATGCCTTTAAATCAGGTGACACTATGCCATTTAACAATAAACATGTAGGTTTAGCTTCTTCTGCTGATATTCTTGTGGCTCGTTGAGCTTTCTTTTCTGGAAAGTCCTAAAGTAGTATCCTGATTTCATTCAATCAATCAATCCAGTACGAATCTTAAACTAGTTAGGGTTGGTTATATGAATCCTCTACCTCCATTGCACGTTACTTGGACTTATTTCATTCCAATACTAGTTCTTTCCTGACTTTAGACAAAGCTGTCAAAGTGATATCCTCATTTTTAAAAATAATACTCTTTTCCAGATTTTACTGTCCTTTTTTCTCGAAAGATGATTTTACTCCTTCCTTGGCAAGGCTGATTTTGTGTAGCTTAGTAGTTGACTCAGAGTAGTCCCGGCAAAATTGCAATTTTAAGAGGCGACCTACTTTCCTAAATACACATCCCCCATGGGAAGGGTTTCGCTTATTTTTGTGCCAAGCATGGTGTTAGGGAACAAAGCGAATGAAAAAGAAGAAATCTTTCCTTTTATATGGGAAAGCCTTGAGGCATATCTTAATGGTTTTAGATTAGTTTTTCTTGCATTATTTATAATTCTACAAGCTGCTTCTATGTTTCAGGATATTTGTAATAGATCAGGTTCTGAGTCAAGGATAATTTGGTAATTTTTCTTTGGCAGTAAGTCTGTTACAAATTTAAGTAATATATCTTTAGGAAAGTCAGAGAGCATTTTTTTAATTATATATGGGAATCTTTTTATCTTAAACATCAAGGTCCTGAACTGCTAATGATTTAGTAGAAATCCTATAGGGTGTAATGGTTTCAATAACAAAAGTAGAAATCCCAGTAGAGAAGGACTGTATGCAGCACATAAATCACCTGTCTATTCTTTCAGTCAAATGGTGGAGAATTATCATTTGTATTGAAACTTTTGTTGCTTTATGCAACATTATTTTTTACTCAGTGCTTAATGCAACCTTATGAAAGGAGCTTAACGAATTCTAGGTGGATTTCCTAGAACTTCTCTTCTTGTTCTCTCCTAAATCCTAATTACAGTTGATGTTTTTTTTTTGGGGGGGTCAAACTGATTTTTTTTATTTAACCAAGTATAAACAATATATGTATAACTAAATCTTTTGGACTAGAGAGTTAGATCTTAAAACAAAAACTATAAAACTGCACAAATTTGCCATCACTCAGGCTATCAGCAATTATAGTTTAGCACCTTCTAGGAAGGCTATAAACTAGAACCTCTTCTTTTAGTAGCAACATTATGGCATTACACTGAAAACTGTTTAGCCTATCAGACCTCAAAAGCATAGTGTTTATTTCTTTTCTCACTTCATTATGCTTCAAATCATTATCCGTCCTTTGCCTATGCTACAACCATCTCAAGTCCCAAGTACTCTTTCACTGTTTTTTAGCCACAAGCCTTTCCACTGCCCAATAGTAGGTTAGAGACCCCATCTCTTGCCATAGCTTCTTTATCTTCTGCATATATCAGGACATCTGTAGGATGGTTTGTCTTCCTGAGATCCCTTTACATGTTTTATTTCAAACCATGAGACTCGGTGTTGGAAATATATGGTCATTCTCAGAAAACTTTATCTGGAAAATATCAGCCATTGAGGAATCTCTGAAGTCTCTAGGTCATGACGGACGTCGGCCAAAGGTGTTATCTCCTTTGCTAAACAATTTTAGCTTTGCTATACCTTTCTCACTTTTTAGTGCTCTTATTTTCCTTTCCTGACCTTAGCAACATAGATAATGTTCGAAATAAGGAAAAGACCCACGAGGTTTCAACTATTGGTTTGACTTTTGGACATTTTACGCATTGCATTCCTTCCTGTGTCATCTTCATTATTTAAATTACCTGGCAATTAAAAGCAAACCTCAATTGGCTAGTACTTGCACTCTGAAAGCTGAAAAAGAACATTATGTATTGACTATGTACACTTGCATATTCAGAGTATGTCCAACTGATGTTGGATGGAGGGAGCACGTTAACGTAGTCACAGGGGACAATGCGTTGACCTGACTTTCTGCTAGTTTAAGTCTTAAGAACCCCTAGAATAGTTTCTTGAACTGGTCAAACTTATCATATTCTGTTTAGGGGTCAGCTTACTCTTCCTGCTACTGCATTTATATCTTTGTTTCTTGTGTCCTACATTTTTTCCTATTGTCACCTTAGAACACTGATGTCTTGTACTTATCTTCCTTTATGAGCATATTTTCAGTAACAAATTGGTGACAATTTCTTAAAATGCTCATGGGAATTGTCTCAATCAATCAACTATGAGTCAAGTTGGGTCAGAATCATCTGTATCTATTCCATTCGGATCCATTTCGCTTCAATACTAAATAACAAATTGCATTGTCTAATATCAGATTTTTTCCAGTGTTTAGCCGAATCTGTGTAAGCAGCTCATCTACAGAGCAATCTCAATTCAGCGTATATATTTAGTATCTCTTTGTGTTATGTATCCTTACATTCATATTCTCTTTGGTCCTGGTTGGTTAAAAGTGATTGTGCGTTCCTTTTGATTTCTTTTTTCAATCATTTAATCACTTGCTGTGTTTGAATTTATTAGATGCTTTATCTATGTCTTCTCTTCTCCAGATGGCTAAAAGAGCAGAAAAGCTTAAATATTTTCGTTGAACCACGGGTGCGAACTGAACTTCTAACAGAGTCATCATATTACCAGTTTGTACAAACTTGGGAAAATGGTGAGTGGTAAAACTTTTTCACTTCTACAAAGTAAGCTGAAAAGAAAAATATTTCTTCGATCATCACTTTAACTTCTTTCATATGGACATATCTCCGATTCTTGGTTCATTAGATTTTGACCTCAGTTTAAGCGCTAATTGTTTGGATGACTTTGCGTAAGGAAATTTTTGCTGATAATCTGATATCTTTTCGATAAGCAGTGCAGCACGTGTGTCCATTTTATTGGGTTTTTTTAATCTTATTGTACTACTGTGCAATGTTATGTTTGTTCTCCAGCAGAATGAGAAGCAACCATTTTCTAGTAAACCTCTTATGCTTGTATTTGAAAGTATGCGAGCTTTATCTGCATTGACAAGTGAAGTTTGACACGTCATGTTAATATAACGTCTCCATATAAATAAGGACCAAGTTTAATGTTGAAAAGATGGGACATCATTTGTCATTACCAAGAAATTTAAATGTTGCATTTTGAGAGATATGCTTCAACCTGCATAACTGCTCTGCTGTTTCTTGTACTGGTTGATCACATATCATATCTAGTTTGTAGTGAGCCAGGGATAGTCAAATTATAATTTTATCTTATCCTAGCTCAAATTGGTATCCATTGATGGTGTCAAACAACCAATTGGTATGACCAGTATTTGAGGAAGAATGCTACAGCTGCTGTGTCTTACTTTGTAAGTGTTTGATTAAATGTTCTGCCTTGTATTATGATAGGACCTTGATACAAATGATCCTAAAGTAGGAATTAACCCTGCTTTTTAGATATATATCAGCAATTTAGAGAATTTGTCTTTTCATTGCCCCCCTTGAAGCAACTTGAGTACAAACGAGCACATGTAATCTCCATACTTGTTGTAGATTAAAAACTTAAAAATGTAAAGATGTTCTTTTCCTTATCTGTTATCAGTATGAACAATGTTAAAGCTAAAGCAACTTCTTGTTTGTCACAGACAATGAAGTTCTGCGTCTCCACACAAAAGTTGATGTTGTTGTAACTCTGGGTGGGGATGGAACCGTCCTTTGGGTATGTATGTTAATTTTGTCTTTTGGACTAGAAGTTTGTGGTTCATGTGGTCTGATCAATGCTTCATATGTACACATTTATTAATTGCAACATGTTTCATATTGCAGGCAGCGAAGATGTTCAAAGGGCCAGTTCCTCCTATTGTTCCATTTTCTTTAGGCTCTCTTGGCTTCATGACTCCTTTTTGTATCCTTATCTTCCTTTAGAAACCTTCTTTTTCATACATGTGGTGTATACCATCTCTATTTTATTGAAATTCAGTGAAAAGGTATAATTTGGCCACTATAATTACTTCATTGCATGGCAATTGAAAGAAATAAAACAGAACACCTTCTATCAATATAGATCGGACTATAAAATATATAACACATAATATGGTAGCTTTGCATTGGTATAATTATTGCTTTTCTCTGGTTACCTTTAACATTTCCAGATAGTGAGCATTACAAGGAATATCTGGATTCAATTCTTCGTGGTCCAATAAGCATCACACTAAGGCATCGTCTCCAGTGCCACGTGATAAGAGATGCAGCTAAAAGTGATCTGGAGACTGAAGAGCCCATACTTGTTCTCAACGAAGTCACAATTGACCGTGGAATTTCATCGTTTTTGTCAAATCTGGAGTGCTATTGCGATAATTCTTTTGTTACCTGCGTACAAGGGGATGGTTTGATTTTATCGACAACATCTGGAAGCACTGCATATTCTCTTGCAGCTGGAGGGTCAATGGTCCATCCTCAGGTACATCCTATCGTAGTCATCACTTGTTGCTTTGTGTTCTTCCTGAACTTGCAGACATAGCTATTTGAGTAATGCAAAATTATGCGTTATGATTGTGGGTTGAATTTTTGAAGCTCTTGAATGAGCACAAAGCCTTTTCCAAAACATAGTTAGCCGTAAATCTGTCTATTTATTAGTTTTTAAGAGTTGCCCGGATTACTATAAACCAGAAGACTAAGCGGCAAAAGTTACATATTTAACCTTTTCTAGTGTCTTCCTTTTGAAGAGGAGCCTTGGCGTAAAGTTGTTGTCATGTGACTAGGAGGTCACGGGTTCGAGCCGTGGAAACAGCCTCTTGCAGAAATGCAGGGTAAGGTTGCGTACAACGGACCCTTGTGGTCCGGTCCTTCCCGGAAACCGCGCATAGTGGGAGCTTAGTGCACCGGGTTGCCCTTTTTAGTGTCCTCCTTTTAGAATTCCACATAAAATTTGCATTCAAAAGTGAGTTAACTTACCTCAATGTGCAACTTTCCTTATTGGATCACCCATAAGGGCAAGTGTCAAGTGTTTTCATAAAATTATGGAGTAATGATTCATCCAAAAGAATATTTTTAAATAAAAATTCATTCAATGCACGATCGTATGCGGTTTACTCGAAGAGGACAAAATATGGGCGGTAACTGATGGAGTACTTCCCTTACAATGTTAGAGTTGATTCTACTTTTTCTTGATGTTTCTTTTAGTAATCTATTTGTAATTTCATAGCCTCTGTTTGCTCTATTCTGTTTCCAGTAATCAACTTTTAAGCAATTCAAATACTCTTTAATATGGTGAGATGCATCTCATTGAAAGATACTGGATGTGCCTCCAATCTTCATTTAAAATAGAAGTTTTTCACATGAAAGTTGGAAGATGTTCTTAAGCTTTCCTTTTCATCACTTGGCGAAATGGGCTTAATAGTTTGGTCTGGTTGAGTGATTGGGGCAGAAAACAGGGTGGCAGAGAATTTATTTGTTTTGAATTGACAATAGTGGGATTTTTTCTGAACGCTACTTGAGCTTTTATGATGGAAGTAAGTGATGTGCGACACGTATGAAAGAATGTGCTTGTAACTACCGTCTAATTATAGCTAGGAAATCTGGCTCGCTGTAGCCTTAGAAAGACCAAAATCCACCAAAAAAGATTTAAAAAGAAATAGAGTGGCCCTAGCAAGAGAAACATTTTGAATTCTATAAACCTTTTAAGCTAATGATGTGTGCTCTGTGTTGTTGTTGCAAAGCCCAAGGAGAAAGCTTCATTAAAAAACTTCCGTTCTAGTATGATTGAGTTCTAGACTGTAGATGGCGAAGTACATTTGTCCTGTATCAGGTGATACTGAATGTGATTGAAGTGTAGGAACTAACATCTTTAGTTTAGAATTTGTCACTTTTTCTTGTTCCTAGACCATTGTCCCTAAAGAACAAAAATTGCCTCCTTTCTAGTTTTCATTTACTCCTTTCACCCACCTAACCAAAAGCTGCAACCGCTGCTTTATAGTGTTTTGGAAAAAATAAGGAAAGAATAATTTCTGTTAATGGTTTCAAAAGTTGGAGAATTTCAGAAGGAATACAATGAAGCCAAAACCATACTTCTTCATCAACAGCTTTTGTTGTTTAACTACGATTATAAGTTCAATATTGGAAACCAACGTGGCATATTAACATGTCGCAAGCTATTAATCCATGCTTTGGGATTTGAATATTAGACAGATGTAGATGAGTTCTGCTTTCGTGTATAGTATTTCATTTCAAAATTTCCGCCGACCTATTATCAATTGGAATTGGACTTGCAATTATCACAATCATGATGCAATAAGCTCCGCAATTGATGTCTCATCCATTTGATGTCTTTGAGTTGATCATAAGCTTAGCAACTTTGGTGTTCTTAATCAAATTGCAGGTTCCTGGCATCCTCTTTACACCTATCTGCCCACATTCTTTATCATTTCGTCCTCTTATTTTGCCTGAGCATGTGACAATCCGAGTACAAGTACCTTTCAACAGCAGAGGTCATGCATGGGCATCATTTGATGGGAAGGATCGTAAAAAGTTGGCACCGGGGGATGCACTTGTTTGTAGCATGGCTCCTTGGCCAGTGCCAACTGCATGTCAATCTGACTCGACGAGTGACTTTCTACGTAGCATTCATGAAGGTCTTCACTGGAATTTGAGGAAGACACAGTCTTTCGATGGCCCTCGGGAGACATGATCTTTACTAACAATTTAATCTGGCAAGGAAATGAGAAGTTTCCAAAATCCACCTCGTCGTGCTGAAGTGAGCATCAAGATATCCTTCTCAGTTATCGCAGAGGCATTCGTGATGTATATACGCCTATACATGCAACATAGAATTTAACTTTGAGAATCTTGAGTCTCAACATTAGGTCGTTTATATATTTATTGTTGTTTGTAACTTAGACATAACAATAAGAATAGAGAAGGAAGTTTGTATCATTTTGTACAGTTCTACTTATATCATACCTCTTGCCCTGGTTTACAAGGGAAGTCAAGCTTTCAGTTCTTGCTTCAAAAGTATTGAAACACTGCTTGAAGCAATTGAGAGGAACTGAGGAAGTGGGAAAATGTATATTTGGAGTTCTGTGCTTTTGGTTCATCTAATAATGTAACTTCTTTTGGTTCTAAATATCCAATTCATGTTACTGTTGGCTTATGAGTGGCAAATCAATATGTTCATAAGAAAATGAGCAACTTAAACTTGCAAAAAGTAGAAAAAAAGACTTCCTAGTGCCTCTCTCTACCTGTTGTTCAGTAGAGATATTTGGAGGGAAAACATTGAGCAGACAATAAATAGCTGACCAATTGTCTCACCACTTGAGAAGGCGTTATTTTTTTATTTTTTTTTGAAGAAAATGGTGGGAAATTCAATTGAGTTTCCTTTTGCTTAGTTTTAAAAGATCAAATTTTACTTTGTACTATTCGAAATTGAGCGACTTTGTCTCTTGTTAAACGTTTGCTCTTTTTCATAATCGTGGTGTGATCAGGGTAGCTTGCATGTACATCGACTAATATTACATTTGGAAAAAGTTTCACTTTTATCCTTGACCCCTAACAGAGCTTCAACTTGAGGGTAATTCTAAACATAGTAAAAGGTTGAAAGGTAAATTTGGTTATTTTTTCTCAAAAGAATTTGGACATGTCGAATTGAGACATTTCACATTAGAGCATATGACAATGTATGAATCGAAGAAAAGTATAACAAAGAACAAACTGATCAATTTCAAATAGTACAAGAGCAATCTTGGACATTTTCCTTATTTCCAATTTCTATTACTGGTGATGTAAAAGAAAATATTTTACATATGAAAAGAGAAAGAAAATGTTTACGTTTGTTGAAACTGCAAAAGGAATTTCGACAAATGCATTAAGGATAATAGCAAACAAGTTTCGATAAGAGAGCAAGGTCGAATCTTATTCAGATGCTATCAGCAAACTTTAGTGAAATGTTTGAACTCTTATGGACAAAAGTTTAGTATTTAAGTGGAGAACGGTAGTGGGGGCATTGCCCATTATTCATAAAGTTTGAGCGATGCATGGTTTGTAAGCGGGATTTCTCGGTTATCAGGAAAAAAAATTATATTGTTATATGTGCATTTCGACTGTCATTTAATTTTGCGCAAAAGTTGTATCAGGATAGTTTCCATTTATTTTTTGGTGTCTGTGCCAGTTCGTGTGCATATTAACTGGATACTTGCTAGCTCCACTAGCCCAAGTACCAATACTGCGTTTTGCTTTTTATGTTTTTTGAGATTGAATTACTTTGTTCTAAAGTGCTTCTTTGAGATTTTAGAATTAGGTCTCAACCTCGTCATAGTGGTCTATTCTTAGAAGCACCTTAGCTCTAGCTACTCATTTGTTTCTCTTTTTTTACTTTACTAGTTACAAGGCATATGCATTGTGTTAGGATTTGTCCTAAATTTCTAATCTATTAGGACTTTCTTTCTTGAAGAAATGGAAAAAGACTCCTAAAAGGATTAAATCTCCTTAATATGTCTTATCCTTTTCTTGGAAGACAAGTTTTGCACATCTATAAATTAAGGATCTCTACTTCTCACAAGAGAAAAAAAAATATCCATAATGTACTCATTAAAGAATTTTGTTTAGGGGGAGATTTTTCTCTCAATAGTTTTTCTTCTTTTAGATTAGTTTTATCATATGTAGGTCAATTGACCAAACCATTATAAACTATTATGCTTAGTTTAGTAAATTTTTCTTTTGTCGTCTGATTTATCGTCCACCAAGCTTTGTACGTTCAGTTCGTCTACTGGTAGTCTAGTTGTAGTATTGAGCGGGTGAACCCATGTTCTATCTCGTAGTCACCTAAGCGGCAGAGTCTGTAAACTCAAATGGTCTGAGAGTTGCCTTTGGCTTCTGAACCTCTGAAACTGGACTTACGCAAGCTACCAAGCTTTGTTAGTTTCCGCATGCACAATGTTATTTCAATCCCAACAAGTGGTATCAGAGCCAATGGTTCAGAGTCAACGGTTGAACGAGGTTGAAGACAAATTCAATGCGTGTTTAGATCAAGACGATAATGAAGATTTATTCAAAAAAAAAAAGGTTTGAATATGATGCCTCAATAGGATTAGTAAGGTAAGGTTTACCCCAGTTTGTGTTGCTCTAGTCCTATGCCTTTGGAAAGATATCCTAATGGCTATGAGATTATATGCCCTCGTGAGACTTTGCCGGCAGCTACACCATGATTCCTCTACATGAGGCTGCCATAAGGGCAATGTGAGGCGCAGAGGAGTGATTATATAGCCAAGGCATAGAGGCAACAATACTGGTCCTATTGTCCCCCTTATTTGTACTCTTCCTATGTGGTTCTTTTTTGCTTTTTATTATTAATAAAACTAGCCCTAGGCTCCTGCCTAGTGGATTACTTAAAAAAAAACACGTGGAGATAAATTTACAATCACAATTGTATTCAAAACGCCTGCTACTGCATCTCTCTTTTTAACCCATATTTTGGCCACTTTTAACCAATGCCAGTTTTAAGTCATGCCTACTCGCAATGCATGAGTTCCAATGCCAGTTTTAACTCACGCTTCTTTTTAATGCATGAGCTTCTTTTACCCCATGTTTATTCTTAATACGTGGGCTCCTTTTAACCCATACCTGGGCTTCTTTTAACCAATACCAAGATTTTCAACCTATACCGATTTTTAATCATGGCAAGCAGCAGTGATGAAGATTATGTGAAGATGGTGAATCAACTTTGTCTAGAAAATTCAGGCCAAGGGGAGATTGTTAGGATTTGCCCTGAATTTCTAATCAATTAGGACTCTCTTTCTTGAAGGAATGGAAAAAGACTCCTAAAAGGATTAAATCTCCTTAATATGTCTTATCCTTTTCTTAGAAGATAAGTTTTGCACATCTATAAATTAAGGATCTCTACTTCTCACAAAAGAAAAAAAAATATCCACAATGTAGTCATTAAAGAATTTTATTTAGAGGGAGATTTTTCTCTCGATAGTTTTTCTTCTTTTAGATTAGTTTTATCATATGTAGGTCAATTGACCAAACCATTATAAACTATTATGCTTAGTTTAGCATATTTTTCTTTTGTCGTCTGATTTATCGTCCACCAAGCTTTGTATTGTTAGTTTCCGCATGCACCATGTTATTTCGATCCCAACACGTTGCACATGTAAGAGATATAATATACAGTTTTAAAATATAATCAAATTATTAAATCAAAGCTTTGAATACATGATTATACATGAAAAAATAAGGTATAAGTTTCTGTGAATAATCAATGTGCATTGTCGTATGGTGACTTATTTTCTGATATCAAAATGATATATTATATAAATCTACGAAAGATGAACAATCAAACTTTATTTTTGTGGCAATAAAGATGAACAATCAAAATTTAAGTAAAGATGAACAATCAAAGTTTAATTAAATACATGCAATTATTTTTACTTATATATTTTGAGTTTATGATGTACAACCATGTAATTAAGAGTATTATATCTAACACTTCTTTATAGACGATATTCCTAGTATATATTTCTTTCATCCATTTCAGTTGGTTTATCATGTCCTGGACTCTTGTTAAAGTTAGCCATGTAAAAATATATTTTGCTAGATACGATCTCGATTACGGTAGCATCCATATTGATAAAGAGTTGCACCATTAGGTCACAAATGTATGAAAACTTTTTAATTTCGTTCATTGTCAAGTATCTAAAAATTCTATCCTCCATGTTGATATGTATCTAGCAGTATAAAAATGATGCAGTTTTAATTTTATTATGTCGAAGAACAAAGAGCTTTTGCAGCAAAGAATGACAAAGAAAAGTGTTATTGATGAAGTTCTATATCAAGATAAGAATTAAGAGAGACGAAGAATCGGGTTTAATCCCGAAGAGAAAAAAAGTCGGGTTTAAGGTTTTTTTTTTTTTAAAAAAAAAATTCAAAGTGAGGCGAGGGGACAAAGGCTATTTGATAATGAAAGTGATCAAAGATATTCATTTTTCAAAAAAACTTTAGCTTGTACACAAATAGATCAATAGGTATCTCTTTTTCTCAAGTGTTGTCATGTTGACCAAAGTGGAATTCCGTTTCTATTTTTATTAAATAATTGTCACTCTTATTACAACTCTAATCCATTTTGATCAAGATGGTGGCGATTAGATTTGAACACAAGGTCTTTTACTTGCTCTAATATCATATTGAGTTGCGTGAGTATCCCATCCAAACGTTTAAACTATAAGAGAGTATACTTTCAAATATTTTTAATTACTCCATATAGTACCTAACCGATATTATAGATTCACCTCCGTATGTGGAGCATGCAGGTTTCACATTATATACGGAGAGGCATGCATGGACACAATAGAATAAAAAAATTCCCGCATCTGGTGTTTATACAAAAATCAATGTATCTAATGTATGTATTGCATATATACTTTTTAACAGGTAATTAATGGTCAAGTGATATGCATTTTGACTTTAATTTATTGACTCTTAAGGTTAATTATTTACTTAGGTATAAATGCCAGGGTACAACTAAGTTTGTACCCACACAAGAGTGTAGTTGTTAAGGAAATAGCAGGATAGAACCAAAATCTGAAACTGAATTTTTGAACAAAAATGCGGTAGATACATACGTATCAGGATATTGGAGCCCCATGACAATTAAATGTATTAAATGAGTTTTTTTTTTTTTGGGTTGCCCACCCGGTGTCCGGTATCCGCATTGGAGCCCGACTATATCCGGATTCGCGCCGCGTAGGGCCCCTTTTGGGGGGAAGCGCTCCCTACCAAGGATTTTTACATATCCAGGGCTCAAACTCGAGACCTCTGGTTAAGGGAGGAGCAGTCCCATCCACTGCACCACATATTAAATGAATTATTTGTTACTATACCAAGAAAGTTACAGGGTAAGACGAATGAACACAATCAAAAAAGTAACCAAAAATAGTACAACACATCATGTTATGCTTAACCTAGCAAAAAAATATTACAAAAGAAAAAGTTCTGCAATTTGCACTACAGAACAACCTAGCATGCCAAATCTAAATAATAATAAGGGCGAATTACACAAATATGTTACTTTGTGCCACTATTAATTTTTTGATCCTAATAATAAAAAATTAGGAATATAGAGATGCCAGAATTTTAAAGCACGCTCCTAATGATCGCCACAATTTCTAGTTAAATGCTCACAAATCCTGATAGGTCATCAAAAAATTTCAATATTATGCCAGTAAATTTTGGTGATCGTCATATTTTATGGTGCTTTAAAATTCTAGCGTCAGAACTTCAAGTGCAGTACTATTTTCTCAAAATTTTTCTTGACGACGTCAAAAAATATACAATGGTTTAAAAAATATCTATCCAATGTAATTTTCTGTAATAATAAAGCCATGGTCCACACATAAAGTGGTATCTTCCTCCTTTTATTATCCCATAATGTTGCCATCTAACAAAATGGTACATCAGCAGATATTTTCGTTAAAATAAATAATATTCTGAAAAACTCAAGTTCTTCCTTTTATCCTCCTTTCCTTTTTCTGTATTTCCATAGCATTAAAATGAGGGTTAATACATAAAAATAACTTCCTAGACTATTTATATTTTGCTACTTTTAGACTTAAATTATGACGTGTTACTTTTATCCTTTGAATTATGCAGTTTTCTATTCAATACATCACATTCATCTCACCAAACTCATTAATAGTAAAATGCCACTATTTTTGTTATTGCAGGATTGACAAATTTAATATAATTCTTTCTCTGTGCTAAAAGGGATCGATGAAGAACGGATTATCAAATTTCTAAGCATATGCCTAATATTTGATTTAGATCGAACCATACTATTTGTTTCTCTACTATAAGCAATAGTCCAATAATATTACCTTAATTTGTCATGTTAACAACCAACTCTAGTCTTCTTTTCTTTTCTGATACTTATCTTCTGCTAACAAAAATTGATTTATCTATATTTTCTTTTTAAGTCCTATTTGATATTACATAACAAGAATTTTCAGAAAAAATATATAATTTCCTTGATACAATCAAGTCGTGTAAAATTTGATTTTTTTTATTTATAAATTCTAAAAAAATATGTTCCTGAATTCGCACAAAAAAATTTCACATTGAAAATAAAGCGCTACTAATAAAGACTACCCCTTGTCGTTTTCGCTCTTTACTACTTGACATTATGACAATTATGTAATATTACCAGCCCTCATGTCCCACCTCTATCCCCACTAATATTATAAGCCTCTACCTAGCCCTTTTTTTAGCTACGAGCTCGTTTGGACATAAGAATTTTTTACTTTTTTTCGAAAATCAGTGTTTGGCCAAAAAATTTGCAATTTTCACTTGAAAATAAATTTTGAAATTTTTCAAAAATTTGAAAAACTCCAAAAAGCTGTTTTTCAAATTTTCACTCAGATCATTCACAAAACTTCAAAAACAACCCAAAATTATATTCATGTCCAAACACAACTCTATTTTCAAATACCATTTTCACTTGAATTTTTTTTTTTTGAATTTTACAATTGTTATATCTAAACACCGACTAAGTTTGTATAAGAGATTAGTTGTCCTTGTGAAGATATTTTTCAAGGAAAAAAAATCCTTTCAATAGAATGATTTTTTCCTTGCTAATCCCACAAGTAATAAATGATCCGATATGGTCCCTTTGATCCTCATTGATGATGATGTAAATAATCCAAATAATCCAAATAATCCTTTGACCAAATATTTGAGTGTACAATCTCTATGATTCCTCCGATTCTACTTTTCTAGTATAAATTCAAAGGCCTTTGAGCTTGATCTTGAATTTGAGCTTGATCTTGATCTAGTACAATCTCTATAGAGTTGTGTTTGGACATGAATATGAATTTGAATTTGAATTTGAATTTGAATCAAAATGTTCGCGACGGATAAATCAAATTCAAATTCAAGATCAAGCTCAAAGGCCTTTAAATTTATACTAGAAAAGTAGAATCGGAGGAATCATAGAGATTGTACACTCAAATATTTGGTCAAAGGATTATTTGGATTATTTGGATCCGTATTATTTGGATTACTCAAATATTCGAAATAAAAAAATCAAGAGATAATACCAAATATAGGCTTTTTAATATTAAAATCAATAATCCAAATAATACGGTGGTCCTATAAATACCGCTTTTGTCACACAGCTCGGAGCACTCGGACAGTTACAGCAGTGTGGTAGGTGAAAAGGAAGAGACAAAAATGGCGACGAAAACAGTATGTGTAACAGGAGCTTCAGGCTACATAGCTTCATGGTTAGTGAAGTTTCTGCTCCAGCGTGGTTATACTGTTAAGGCCACTGTTCGTGATCCCAGTTACGTTTGTTCTCTCTCTCTCTCTTGAAAATTCATTTTCATTTGAATAGAATTCAGTAAAAATAGATTCTGAACTTGTTAGATCATTTCTTTCTATGTGATCGTTTTTTCTTCTCGTATATCCACTTGAGGGATTTGGCATTCTATTGTATAATTTGATTTGGTTTTGATAAGCTACGGCAAATGGGGTTTTGATGATTATTTAGAGTTGATATTCAAATTTTACTTTCTGGTGTTTATTTTATTTTTTATGATGGTGGATTGGTGGTATTCGGGCCACCTTGCGGGCATCTCGGCTATTCCATCGGATACCTGTACCTCCCACTAGCACTAATACTAGTAACTCTGTCTGCCAACCAACACTTAGGCAGATGCATTTTACTTTTTTAAATTTTTTGTAGTTTATTGTTGAAATAATTTTATATTTGTTAATTATTTGGATGGTTAGAATGAGACTTGATTACGGATGTAATAAGTCTTTTAATATTGAGTTACTCCACATGTGTGGATCCGTAGATGATACTATTATGATTGAAGGTGCTAAAAAATAGACCATATAAACCTATAATCATATGAAGGGAAGTTGGGTGAAAGAGCTATAGCCACTCAGAATCAATGCAGACTTAGCTAAGAACATAATACATGGAATCAAAGGATATACATACCAACTAGTTGCGAGTAAAGCTCAGTTGCTGTTACACTTGCTTTAGATTCGGTATTCTGAAAATCATCAAAATTGCATTACATTCATCTAGAAATATGAAGGCAATGAAGACTCTGTATGGACATTATAGTATCATGCTTGAATATGAGATATTTTAGTGAACATTTCGAAGCTTCCCATTTATTTTAGAGATCTTTAGTTACTACTCTGTGGCATATAGGATATAATCATGCTAAGTATTAATTAAACTCTTCAATTAATGTTTTTGCTATTGTTTTATACACTTATACTTATGTGTTTAACTTCTCTGAGTTCACCTGCAGATGATCCAAAGAAGACGGATCACTTGACATCACTTGATGGAGCTAAGGAGAGACTCCACTTGTTCAAAGCAAACCTGCTCGAAGAAGGTGCCTTTGATGCTGTGGTTGATGGGTGTGAAGGTGTATTTCATACAGCATCTCCTTTTTACCATGCAGTCAAAGATCCACAGGTTCCTTACTCATTCTCCTTAAAAAATATGGTTTTGGCTTGCTGCAGCTTTCCTTTGTTATTCACAAGTTTCTGTTCTTTCTGCTATTTATCCAGAGATTTCTTCAAATTATGATGTTAATAGCTAGATGAGGAAGTTATTCTACCACCAAACTGTTTCTGATTACTTTCTACATTATGCACGATCAGTATCTACCTGATATGTATTCACATAACTAATACAGTGAAAATTGCTCCAGTTACATGATAAAATTGTAATTGCATATGTTTCATGGTGTGTGTATCTTTTTATGAATGACTATAGCTCCTGCATAAACTATCACCTCTGAATTTTCTCAATAAATCTTTAAATAGAGTGTGCACTGACACAGTAAGACTTAAAATGTCAATTGGATGGAGTTAAACAGTTAAGCAAGAGCGATCTAAACTATATTAGCTGAACTACTATTCTTTAAGTTACCGTCTTGAAGGATTACTGTGCACCTTTGCCAGTTAAGTGTAAGAAAATCTATCCTACGAACTGGCTACAGCTTTCTTGGTTCGGTTGGTCATATTTCTCTGTTCTAGTTTATGGTGTATCCATCTACTGATGTCATGTATCTTCCCTACGGTTAATGTGCAGGCAGAATTAATTGATCCTGCACTGAAGGGGACACTTAATGTTCTTGGATCAGTTGCAAAGACACCAACAACTAGACGAGTGGTTTTGACATCATCTGTAGCAGCAGTTGCTTTCAATGGAAAGCCACGAACCCCTGAAGTGGTAGTTGATGAGACATGGTGGTCGGATCCTGACTTTTGCAGAGAATCACAGGTGCTTGACATGACTTTTTCATTTTTCGCTAGCAGCGCAATTGTGGGCATAAGCCCTTGAACAATTTTTCTTCAACTACTATGCCACGTAAACAGCGGTGATCCACATTAAGCGACACACTGGAAAATTTTGCTAAATAACATATATGCAAAAACAAAAACTAAGATACATAATATTAAATGGGAACTCCTTGACATCTGGTCCTTTCTGGTCCAGTGGTCAAGTGCCTTGCTTCTTTGATTGAGGTTAAGGGTTCAAACTTCATTGTGGTATTGTGGTTCTGCATATTTTAGCCCGATTTGATAAAATTGATGAGGTTAAAGTGTCGAACCATTGACCTCATTCTGGTAATAATCAATTAAACCAGGACCAAAACTCCTTTTGTGTTGAGTAAAGTGATAATAAAAAATTCAATGTTTTAGAATTCTAATTTGGAAAAAAACTACTTATCCTCGTCTTCAATTTGCAAAATTTGAGCTTTCTAGATTGCTGCTATAGAGTAGTGAACACTAATCACAATGCGTTCTTAATCTTCACAGAACTCTTCTTGGTTATATACAATGAGCGCAAGATGAGATTAGCTGTTTGTTCTTGTTGAAAGCTTTTACATTTCGACATAATGGATCTTCTAGGCAAGGGGAGATTAGCTGTTTGTTCTTGCTGAAAGCTTTTACATTTCGACATAATGGATCTTTTAATACCATTGTATTAGAGTAGCCCATATTTTTATTTTTATTTTCTTGATAAGATAGAATAATACATATTTTACAGACCACAATACCTGGAAAACGATGAGGACCTGGCTTTTAGCTCTTTTGGAGTCTAAACCACTTCTCTCTCTCTCTCTCTAATTCTTTCTATTTGAGGAGCTAATTACCGATCATCTTGTGTTGCTTTTACCAGCTCTGGTATGTACTTTCGAAGACATTGGCTGAGGATGCTGCATGGAAGTTTGTGAAAGAGAAAGCTATCGATATGGTTACGATAAACCCAGCAATGGTTATTGGCAGTTTGTTACAACCAACACTTAATACAAGTTCTGGTGCCGTCTTACAACTGATAAATGGTATGCTTGATTTTAGAGCAGCTGGTTTGATCTCGTCATCTGCAACTAGGATGTTTTTACCTTTTGACTCAACTATCATGAATTTAAAATATATAAAAAGGAATCATGATTTGTTACCTAACTGTTTTCCTAAAATTTCTCTTCAAGAGAATGAATCTGACAAATCAATATGTCTATTTCTGTTGATTCTGATGATTTCAGAAAATTAAATAGGTCTTCATACCCTTTTTTCTCTTACAGTATCTTTCTTCAATCTTGACGAGTAAACACCACAGACACTAATTATACTGCGTTACAATGATTCGTAATATGTTTAAAAACTTTTTTTTCCCATTTGCAATGGCTCAAGGCACATTGTAAGTGGAACTTATTAATGTCAAACAATTATTTCCTTTCGTCTTGTTAGTATTAATAGGTTAGAGATACTTCAACCTTGTTTCTGCTTGCCAATGGCACATCTCTGATAACTATTGCCCATTTATTTGGAAACGATCTTTTTAGGAGGAACATTTTGCATATTGATCAAAGCACACTAGTACTATTTTGACGTGTCTCAATTCCTTCGAACAAGACAGCTTTGATACTTTTGAATCTGCTATATAAATTCTACTTCTTACTTGCAGTGTGCTCTTTATGATCTCTGCCAATGGAAGAGGGATGGTGATGTAGTTTGACTGGATATTGAGTTTAAGATGTAGTTTGATTTACCTATTATAGTAGCAGTGGACAAAACTCCCAAAACAATAGTTAAAAAGTTACTATGATTGAGAAATTGCTTCAAATGTTAAATTTAAATATAGATGAATTTGAATGATCAGTTTGTATAAAATGATATTATTAAAAGTCTATCTAATATTTGGACGTCCCGAATAGAAAGTGCATCATATATATTTGGATTTAGGATTGGAAGGAGCAACTGTTTGGGCTTCCGTTTTCCGTACGCTTCTTCCTTAATTCCTATCTAGTTACTTCTTATTTTTTGTTTTAATAACTGTACTTGGTAGTTTGTTAATAAGTTTATTTAACATCCTGTTCATGTTACTATGCTATGTTGGAATTCATGGTGAAGTTTCATTTTTGCTTTACGGCAGGTGCTGAAACATACCCAAATGCTACATTTGGATGGGTTAATGTGAAAGATGTTGCCCTCGCGCATATTCTAGCATTTGAAAACCCTTCAGCTAATGGTAGATATTTAATGGTTGAGGCAGTTGCACACTACTCTGAGTTAGTGAAGATATTACGCGAGCATTATCCCACAATGAAGCTTCCAGAAAAGTAAGTTTCTTATTTGATATGTAATATATTCAATGAGGTTTATCTCCGTGATATCAGCATCTTCGAAATGTGATGTTTTGAAAAATGGGTGGAGCATGCTCTGCTGAAATAATACTGAAAGTGGAATTGGTAATTGCTGAATTTGTATGGGTTACTTCTCGAAATTGTTTTAGTGGCTCAAGCTTTTTTGATTAAACTCTACAGGTGCGTCGATGACAAGCCATTTCCACCAAAGTACCAGGTTAACATAGAAAGAGCAATACAGTTGGGTGTTGAGTTCACTCCCTTGGCTGAAAGCGTCAAAGAAACTGTCAAAAGCTTGAAGGAGAAGAAGTTTTATTCAGATGCTTAGCCTCAAGTGTGAATGAGTCTGCAAATTTTAGTGAACATGCTTCTGTATTTTGAAGTTCACCATCCCTTGGGAAACTTGATCTAAATAAGACATTTTCTTATTCGTGATCCAAGAATTTTAATGTTGTAAACGCTTCATGGATGTGGTAGAAATGGTTTGCATCCCGTGTATTGATGATTATCTTGACCTGTTAAAGCTCCTTTTCAGCCTGGTTATCTTTGGGAATTCATTCTTAAAAGTAATATTTAGCTACCTATTGTTAAATGTGCATATGGACTGTCGTTTGGGTTTGTGCAAAAAATAATGTAGGAAATTTTACCTGCTATAGCAAAGATATACATCCTATTTATTATTAAACCAAAATCATTTTAAAATATTATTTTTTGTAGCTACCTTTTATATTTTATAGCAAAATAAATATTTACTGTATATATTGCCATTGAGGCATGAAATAAGGCGTGAAATACGCTATTTATGTTTTTCCTCTCTCTTAGACAGCTGGACATATTGATTTTTAAGGTGATTGCCGTTAGTGTATTCATGAATACATGGCGCGAATACATGTGAATACATGCGCGTACAGCTGGACTGTCCTGATTTTAGGATTTTTTACTGGTGTATTCATGAATACAACAGCGCGAATACATGTGCGTACAACTGGACTGCCTTGATTTTAGGCGCTTTTTGTTGCTGTATTCATGAATACATGGCGCGAATACATGTGAATACATGCGCGTACAGCTGGATTGTCCTGATTTTTAGGCACTTTTTGCATAGCGCGAATATAGCGAATACACTACCGTAACAACTGAAGAGTAGCTATAGGAAGTAATTATGTATATGATAGCTATAGGAAATTAATAGCCACTAAACAATAGTGGTTTCTGAAAATTTCTCAAAAATGTATCAAGAAAGTTTCCCTATTGTGCTTTTTATGATCGTGGTATTGTCCAAGTCAGTTTGGCTCAAATGGGTGGATTGGGCTGATTTTGGGTGGGTCAAAATGGAAATGACCCCAAAAATAACTTGGGCTGAGATGGGGTGGGTCAAGTTGAGTTAAAATTTGGGCCATTGTCCAACCACCGCAACTCTTACCAAGCTTTAATTAATGTGTATTATTTTCTTATAAATTGTAAGTATCATTTTTTTTTGTTAAAGTCATATATAACATATCAAACCAAAAAATTATATTAAAGATATTTTTGCAAAGTTACTCATGAATCAAATTGTACTAAAATTAGCCCAACTTTAGATGTGCTGAAATAGTTTGGGTTAAGATGGACTGAGTTCAACAAATGGATGACTCAATGACCAGCCCAACCTTAGGCGGGTCAAATGGATTTGGGCTCAAATTGCCACCCCTACCTATTATATCGTCAAATTGCACAGGTGCCCTATTTGGTCGCTTCTATTTAACCTATACCCACTTTTAATTTTTTTAAAACTTGTACCCACTGTTTAAATAACTTCAGACCTTCTTCTCCTCTTTCTTCTTCTTCTTTTTCTTTTTTGGGTGACAGTGATTTTATATGGTACTGTTTATGAAAATATTTTAAGGCATTTCTGATGTTATACAATGGTGAGCTGTTGTGGCGTTCTATTTTTTTAACTATTGCTTAGGGTTTTTTCTTTTTAATTTTTCTTAATTGCAAAATGAGTTCGTTAAATTTATTGTTGTTTTGAAAAATTGATGATTGGGATTTGTTCTTGATGATATTTGGAGGTTATGTTTCAAATTTGAGCTTATTTTGAGTAGATTTAGGTACTAAATCATTTATTGGATTGTTAAAATTTGAAAAACAAATTTCTGTTTCTGCGCAATTTGCATTTCAGGCCTATTTGGCCTTAAGTGCATGAAAACGTTGGTTGCTCTTCAGACCTTTTAGCCTTAAGTGCATCTGAAGTGCAATTTTTCACTTCAAACTTATTGGCCTTAAGTGTAGGAAAACGTTGTTGCACTTCAAATCTTTTGGCCGTAAGTGCATCTGAAGTGCAATTTTTGACTTCAGACTTATTGGCCTTAAGTGCATGAAACCATTGGTTGCACTTCAGACCTATTTGGCCTTAAGTGAATCTGAAGTGCAATTTTTTATTGCAGACTTATTGGCTTGAGTGTAGGAAAACATTTGTTGCACTTCAGACCTTTAGGCTTTAAGTGCATCTAAAGTGCAATTTTTCGAGGCTTTTGCATCTATACCTGATTTGGGGTCACAATTTAACTTATACCCACTTTACAAAAATTTTTGCAAGCATATACACTTTATGATCAACTTCAGACTTATCGGGTCTGAAGTTAAAAAAATTAGACTGCTGTGAAAAAATTGCACTTCATATGTACTTAAGGCCAAATAGGTCTGAAGTGCAACCAATGGTTTCATGCACTTAAGGCCAATAAGTTTGAAGTGAAAAATGACACTTCAGATGCACTTAAGGCCAAAAGGTCTTAAGTGCAACAAACATTTTCCTACACTTAAGGTATAAGTCTGTAGTGAAAAATAGCACTTCAGATGCACTTCAGGCAAATAAGTCAGAAGTGTAACCAATTGTTTCATGCACTTAAGGCCAATAAGTCTAAAGTGAAAAATTGCACTTCAGATGCACTTAAGTCCAAAAGGTTTGAAGTGCAACAAACATTTTCCTGCACTTAAGGCCAATAAGTCTGAAGTGAAAAATTATACTTCAGATGCATTTAAGGCCAAAAGGTCTGAAGTGCAACCAATGTTTTCATGCACTTAAGGAAAAATAGGCCTGAAGTGCAAATTGCCCAGAAATAGAAATTTGTTCTTCGAATTTTAACAATCCAATATACGATTTAATACCTAAATCTACTCCAAATAAACTCAAATATGAAACATAACCTCCAAATATCATCAAGAACAAACTGCAATCATCAATTTTTCAAAACAACAATAAATGTAACGAACCCATTTTACAATTAAGAAAAAGAAGAGGAAGACACCATAAGGGTTGGTAAAAGATAAAGCTCCATGGGAAGTATTTTTTTAAAAAGTCTGACTTCGGGGGTTACCTACATATCCTTGGCTATAAAGGAATCATGTCAGTGTAGTTCTGGAAATTTTGGTAGCTGTGACTACCGGAAAACTGTAATTTCATTGCTGTTGCTACTGTTATGCTTGCTGAGCTTCTTATTACACCAAAAATCAAAATGAAAAACTAAACTAACTAAATCTATCAGCTACGAGTTATAAAATCCCTATCTATAAACCTTCTGAAGCTTGATCTTGAGTCTTGGCTGGTTCTTCATGCAGACTCTGATCTGAATCTTGATGCTTGTTAGCTGCAAGTGCTGGTTCATTCTTCTTCAGCTTTTCGGATCAAGGCGGGACATGCAAAGCTTGTGACTTCAATCATGTCTTAAGCAGTCCACATCTTTTCTCCGTTTCTGCACTTTGACTTCACTTCTTTTTCTTTTCTTCCTTTTTTCTTTTATTCTGGATTGAGACTTCTTCATTTGGTAGTCTCGAACCATGTGTCTTGCGGTATAACCTACTCAGGCACCAAAGCAAACGAGCGAAATTTTTCTGCCCTAGTTTTCACTAGGAAAATTTCGTGAGTTATTTATAACCAAAACTCTATACTACTTCATTATTGAAAGAAATAAAAGTCAGGATTGTTTATTTTGGGAAAAGATATTAGGGAATGGAGACCCTATATCTAAAAAAAATGAAATCAACTAGGGAATGTAAACCCTATGTTGGAAAATGCAGTTAGGGAAAGATGTATCCTATGCTAACATGTGACTGATTTTTTGATTGATTTTTTTTTTCAAACCGGACTTCTTGTATTTTTTTTTAATTATCCTAGGAGAAAATTCATCAGATTAAGACTTCGATCCTAGGAGAAAATTCGTCAGACTAAGTTTTCTTATCTTAGGAGAAAGATTCATCAGACTAAGATTTTGTATCCTAGGAGAAAGATTCATCAGACTAAGTTTCTTATCTTAGGAGAAAGATTCATCAGACTAAGACGTTTATCCCAAGAGAAAGATTCATCAGACTAGGTTTCCTATCTTAGGAGAAAGATTCGTTAGACTAAGATTTCTATCCTAGGAGAAAATTCATTAGACTAGGTTTTTTATCTTAGGAGAAAGATTCATCAGACTAAGATTTCTATCCTATGAGAAATTTCATCAGACTAGTTTTTTTTGGTTATCTTAGGAGAAAGATTCATCAGACTAAGACTTCAATCCTAGGAGAAAGTTAATCAGACTAGGTTTTCTAATTTATTATCTTAGGAGAAAGATTCATCAGACTAAGATGTCTATCCTAGGAGAAAGTTCATCGGACTATGTTTTTTTTTAATCTTAGGAGAAAATTCATCAGACTAAGATTTCTATCATAGGAGAAAATTCATCAGACTAGGTTTCTTATCTTTGGAGAAAGATTCATCAGACTAAGATGTCTATCCTAGGAGAAAGTTCATCAGACTAGATTTTTTTAAAATTTTTTTTTGTTATCTTAGGAGAAAGATTCATCAGACTAAGATTTATATCCTAGGAGAAAGTTCATCAGACTAGGTTGTTTTTTTTATCTTAAGAGAAAGATTCATCAGACTAAGACGTCTATCCTAGGAGAAAGTTCATCAGACTAGGTTTCTTATCTTAGGAAAAAGATTCATCAGACTAAGACGTCTATCCTAGGAGAAAGTTCATCAGACTAGGGCTTTTTATCTTAGGAGAATGATTCATCAGACTAAGATTTTTATTGGAAGGAAAATCCATTAGACTAGGATGTATTACCCTAGGAGGAAAAAAATGTGAAGAGTGATGGTAGGATTTTATGCACACTAGCGAGGCAAATAAAGGCAAATATTTGAGAAACTCCTCTTTGTCGGCTCTTCTTTTCTTTTTTCTCCTTTTTTTGTTCTAATTTTTTTGTTCTCTTTTTTTTGGAACCACTTTCCTTGCATTGCTTTGTTCCTGTTTCAAATAAAGAAAATTTTGTCAGTTTTGAAAGTGGTGGTCGATTTGTGGCCTTGAGTCTAGGGCAGCTTGGCTTTTGCTCAATCACCTTGAGTCAGTTTCAAGAGACTGTTGCTCAGCATCAACCCTGATTGTTTCACACCCAGTACTATTTGTATTTGTGGCTCAATCAGCCTTATCCCAACTAGAGATCTTTTCTTAGGTGACCGATATCTTGAACGACTTCCTGCTTTTTGAGCAATTTGTCTGTCAGAGAGAATCACAAGTTATCTTTGCTTGTGCCGAGT